GTTACCTTTTAGAGTGTCTGGTATGTCAGATTTTTCTCATCAGTCCTGTTCAGCGTTTAGTGGTGAAAAAGACTCTTGAACGCAGAGTTAATTTGCCCTGGGCAAGTGTTAATGGTAGTGAACAAAAAACACCATCAGGTAGAGCGCACTCACTGCACTGTGGCCAATTTAGTTAACCTAGAGTTAACATGCAGATTTTTTCCCCCATTTACCAATCGATTGGTTTTAGAGTTGGTAGAATTTCAGTTGTCCTAGATTTTCTCTGGTTGGTTACAGCCCTTCATGTAATGTTTCAGTTTGCTTCAAACAAACTAGTTTGTGTAACACATGGTCTGACCATGTCTGCAGTCAGAGTATTTCTAGCCATTGTGAATGCCCACACAGGAAGGCATGACGAAAAGCCTGCCATCACACTGTGCTGACTGCATCTCTCAGCCTCTCTGATCTCTGTCTGACATCTTCCTACAAATGGAGATAACAGCACACACTTTCAAACAGTCTCTCCTTGAAGGCAGTCATGGTGTAAACTATATTCACGTGAAACTGACACAGTATGTGAAGAAGGAAAAAGACAGCGCAAGAGAGAAGTTCAAACCTTTACTTTCACACCTCCGCACCCTGGCCAGTCACTGTGTAAAGTGGCCGTGAACTTTGGAGGCTGGTGTGGTTGATGGGTGGATCAACAAAGGCTGTAATGTTAATAGCCAGTGTTGCTTTCTTTTAGCCAACTGACCATCATTCTCACCTAGTGTGAATTATAAATTTAACCTTAGAGGTGGTGGGTCAGAAATTGGTAACAAATCATTTTTCTAATGATCACTTGTAGTGATAGTGGAAAGCATTGACAGATGCAGTTGTCCTGCCAGTAGGAGTGCTAGACGAGACAGTTCTCAGATAGGTCAAACAATTGTGTTAAACCAAATTGCTACAAACACAGGGCTAATGGGGGCCAGCAACAAATTTTTGCCTAAACGAAGGGTCCCCGAAAATTTACTGCTGGCCATGGTTTCAGTGAAACTCTGATTCAGGGGCCTTGATTCATTAACATTGTTCATTATTCAACTGATACATGTCTGCTGTTGCTGCATAGCTTAGCACATTTAAAGATGGGGTGGTGTGTCTGTAGAACAACACTGAAGACAAGTTGAAGCATTCCAGACTGAATGTAAAGAGGCGGTGCAGAGCAGAGGATACAGGGATTCCTCTCATTGAATGATCATCCCGTACTGTTGTGATGCCTGCATTTAGGTTGGCTCAGAGAACCACTACAGTGCAGGTTTCGCCACCTTTAACTTAGATATGTTTTGCATTACATGTTTGTATTATCACTTATTAGATCTTAGAAGACAGTGAAAAGAAAAGTTCTCAATTTCTTATTGTCAGAACATAAAGTAATACAAAATAAACAAATCTTTAGATTTCAACTGTGGCCCTGTGGGGGTTTTTTTCTAAAATAAACCTTTACCTATAGCAGTAGTTCCCAACTGGTGGGTCACTGTCCAAAAGTGGGCCGTGAGTCCATTCTGAATGGACCACAGGTGACTTGCAAACATGTCAAGTTTGTGAAAAAAAAAAACCCTGTACTTTCTAGTACAGTAAATTTCCGGCACAGAGCTTTTATTTTGAAGTGTTTTCTACTGTAGAGTGAATGATTAATGGACAGCTATTTGAGGATATGGCCAAAAGTATGACACTGAATAAATTAAACTGTGTGAACCTTGAACTAATGACAACGGAGAAATCTTGACCCTGTGGCTGGACCAGTTGGGAACCACTTACCTATAGGAGCAGACCTACAGTCTTTACATATTGTGTTGCACTCCTTACATTGGCATACCAAACTGCCATACCAAATGAATTTCTGCCCCAGGCAAAGACAAGTTGAAGTATCTTGGGTTGTTCACGAGTAAGGGTAAAATGGAGCGTGAGATTGATAGCGCCTGCATCACCACAGACACCGCACCAGATTGTTGGAGAGACTGAAGAGAGGGGGCTGAGTCAGAAGGCAAAGCTTTCAATTAACCGGTCCCAGTCTCACCTTAGGTAGTGAAGTCTGGGCAGTGACCTTGAATAAGATTGTACATGCAAGTGGCCAAAATGAGTTTCCCCTGTCAGGTGGCTGGGCTCAGCCATAGAGATGGGGTAAGGAGCTCAGTCATGCGGAGTGAGGTCGTAGTAGAGCTGCTGCGCCTTCGTGTTGTAAGGGGCCGGTTGAGGTGGTTTGGGCATCTGATCAAGATGCCTCCTGGGTGCCTCCTGTTAGAGGTATTGGTACGTCCAACTGGTAACCTTTATTGATCCCACAATTGAGAAATTCCAGTGTTACAGCAGTCAAGGGGAAAGAGGTCAGATTAAAGATTTACTTACCGTGATTGGTAAGTCCTTCGTCAGATATCCTCAGGAGGGCATTGACATTAATTATACCAAGTTTCGTGTTAATCCGCCCAACCGATTTTGAGATATAAAATACTTCAATTTAAAGAGCGCCACCTTGTGGTCATCACCCGAAATTTTGCACAGAGCCTCAGAGGCTCATCAGGAAGTAGTAAGCTGAGTTTCATGTCATTCGGATACAACAATGTGGAGATATGCAGTACTTCCTGTTTAGAACAAAATCTGCAGGAAGTTGCTATTTAATAACTTGAGTAGTGTTTGGAATATCGAAATTCTTTTAATAAGCTTTTGTTGGGAGGGTCCACAGATGCTGTGTGCAAAGTTTCATGCCAATCGGTGAAATTGCCTGGGAGGAGTTCGAAAAAGTAGGTTTGCGACATTTTGCGAATTTGTGGAAAAAAACGGTAGACAGAAATTGGCGTGGCCTTTACCACAAGATTCAGCACAATTCACTGAACGCGTGGATATAAGGTTTTTGAATGTGCGACAAAGTATATGGGAGTTATGAGCCAAAATGCACTTTCCTTAATAATAGCGCCACCTAGTGGTGGAAATTCAGGAGGACAATAGATTATAAAATTTTTCGCCAGGTGTGACTCATATTCCAAGTTTGAGTTTTGGGGTATGTTCAGACAGTGAAAAATGCAATCATATGGGCGGAAGGAAAAAAAA